CAGCAGAATTTATTTTAAATAAGAACTTTTCTACACTATTATAAATAATACACTAATGTTATTTAAATTATTTGTTTATTTGTAATTTAATTATCTCAATAGCTAATGCGATTATTAATTTGTTAAACTTAGATTACATTAACTTTAATAACAAATTTTGTTTTGTTTTAATATCTTTTTACAGAGATCCCTACCATGATTACCGAAATCGAAGAAGTACCTGCCATTATGGTGGGAGACTATAAACTACAATTTGAATTGGGTGAACCCTGTGAACGTACCAAAGAGTGGCTTTACGTGAACTACGGGAAACTCCCGAAAATATTCAAAAAGGCACAGCGGAAACTTAAAAAATTATTGGATGGTAAGTAATTGAAATACAGTGACTTCTTTTTAAGAAAGTTCTAAAAGAAAATCGATACATTTTGCGAGTATTTGGGTCTTTTATCGTAGTTCTGTTTTAGTTTAGTTCAGAAAATTCTCAAAGTTAAAAGTTTTTTTACTGCAAATCTTATATTTACTAAATAAATATGATTATTTCGCAAGTTTTTTTTTCATAACTAATTTGTTTTAAATTATTTAATGTTTGTTTTTATGCAGTTATTATCATGACCCTTAATCTATTGCATTAGATTTTATAATTGAACTAAAAAGCCATTTACAATTTCTCAGTACTTAACAATGACAGCAGCTTTCATTTAAACGGTTTCAGTAGACAATGTCGGAGAACACGTAGACAAAAAATCCCCACAGATTTAAATTAAAATGCTAATAAAAATATTTTGAAATGTAAACAATAAGGAGGTATAGGAATATCAAAAATTTTCTTCTTATTGCTTACAGTCAACAACAATTTTGCCTTCTTCTTGAATCACCCTAATGTAACACTTTTTCAAAAATTATGATTCATTTCGTAATTGTTGTTATTACTATTATTGTTTTCTTCTAAAATGTTATAAAATAATATTTACAATTAATAACAAAAACAACCAGTTTTGAAATCTAACAGCAACTACAATTACAGTCAAAATGCATTAGCAACATTTTGCTGGTAGAGAAATGTTAAGTAAGAATTAATACAATCTATTATAATGTTAATTGTTTAAAAATATCACATATTTCTGAGAAAATATGATTAAAAAAGGTTATCGCTAATTGATTTTATCTGCATTGTATATGCAATTTACAAATGGACACGTGTATAACAGTAACTGTCAACAACTGGGGTTTTTGAACGAATTGCTGAAAAGAGTTATAAACAATTTCCAAGGAATAATAGCTAAATCGGAAATTACAGGTCCCTACTAACGTTTAGACTTTAAAGAATATAAAAAAACAAGAACTTAAGTAGAACTGACCTAGAACTAAAGTAGAATAGAACTGGAACTGAACTAAAACGAACTAGAGCTGAATTAGAACTGAACTAGAACTGAACTAGAACTGAACTAGAACTGAACTAGAACTGAACTAGAACTGAACTAGAACTGAACTAGAACTGAACTAGAACTGAACTAGAAACTGAACTAGAACTGAACTAGAACTGAACCAGAACTGAAGTAGAACTAAACTAAACTAGAACTGAACTAGAACTGAACTAGAACTGAACTAGAACTGAAATAGAACTGAACTAGAACTGAACTAGCACTGAACTAGAACTGAACTAGAACTGAACTAGAACTGAACTAGAACTGAACTAGAACTGAACTAGAACTGAACTAGAACTGAACTAGAACTGAACTAGAACTGAACTAGAACTGAACTAGAACTGAACTAGAACTGAACTAAAACTGAACTAGAACTGAACTAGACTGAACAGAACTGAACTAGATCTGAACTAGAAACTGAACTAGAACTGAAACTAGAACGAACTAGAACTGAACTAGAACTGAACTAGAACTGAACTAGAACTGAACTAGAACAGAACTAGAACTGAACTAGAACTGAACTAGAACTGAACTAGAACAGAACTAGAACTGAACTAGAACTGAACTAGAACTGAACTAGAACTGAACTAGAACTGAACTAGAACTGAACTAGAACTGAACTAGAACTGAACTGAACTAGAACTAGAACTGAACTAGAACTGAACTAGAACTGAACTAGAACTGAACTAGAACTGAACAGAACTAGAACTGAACTAGAACTGAACTAGAACTGAACTAGAACTGAACTAGAACTGAACTAGAACTGAACTAGAACTGAACTAGAACTGAACTAGAAGAACTAGAACTGAACTAGAACTGAACTAGAACTGAACTAGAACTGAACTAGAACTGAACTAGAACTGAACTAGAACTGAACTAGAACTGAACTAGAACTGAACTAGACTGAACTAGAACTGAACTAGAACTGAACTAGAACTGAACTAGAACTGAACTAGAACTGACTAGAACTGAACTAGAACTGAACTAGAAACTGAAACTAGAACTGAACTAGAACTGAACTAGCAACTGAAACTAGAACTGAACTAGAAATGAACTAGAACTGAACTAGAACTGAACTAGAACTGAACTAGAACTGAACTAGAACTGAAACTAGAATTGAACTAGAAACTGAACTAGGAACTGAACCTAAGAACTTGAACTAGAACTGAAACTAGAACTAACTAGAACTGAGAACTAGACTGAAACGAGACTATTAGATGAACTAGGAAATGAACTAGAATTTGACTAGAACTGACTAGAAACTGAAACTAGAACTGAACTAGAACTGAACTAGAAACTGAACTAGAACCTGAAACTAGAACTGAACTAGAAACTGAACTAGAACTCTGAACTAGAACTGACACAGACTGAACTAGAACTGAACTAGAACTGACTAGAACAGAATTAAGACTGCAACTAGAGCTAATTAGAATAAATAAATGGACTATCCGATTATATACTTCGAAATTGTAAACATTTTTCTATAAAGAACTTCAAATAAAAATCTTGATTATTTCAAGCATAAATCGTTTCTATAAAATTTAATGTAAGTGATTAAATATCATGCCAAACCAAGGTTGCTGAAAAAATCTTGTATTCATAAAAAACCACAAGCAAAATGCAACCTTAAATGGTAGTGCAACCTCTACTTAAATTTCATCAAAAAAAAACTTGCATCTTCAAGCATAATATCAGAATAATTTAAAATATATATTCTTAAACTAAGGTCACTCTCATGAGGGTTTTTTCCACAATAAAAAAAACTAGTTTTGAAAAGAACACAAAAAAAAAATGCACACAAAATGCAACCTTACAATTATATATTGAATACAACCCTGAACTTGCCTAAAATAAACAAAAAAAGATCTTGCAAATTCTTGAGAAAAGAAGAACCTTGTTAAAATAAATTAAGTTAAAAAATAATATAAGAAATAACACACAATAATAACTAGATCAAGAAATCAAATATATTTTTCGGCTCTTTCTTAAATTTATTTCTTTTATTAGTATTTTTTACCGTAAATGTGCAAACAAATCAATAATGTAAACAGTTCCGCATCTGTCAAACACAACAAACAGACAAACCACAACAAAAACATGTCAAAATTTCAATTTCAGTTTCAGTTTCTAGCGGCCAAAAACCCTCCACTACCAAAAATGAAAATAGTTTTATTGTTGTTCATTTAACAACCTTGAACTTAATTTAAAAATTTTTTATTCTTTATGGTTAGAAATACAAGCGAAAACTTGTTTAAAAATACAAAAAAACTTAATGATGAGTAAGATATAAGGCAAAGTTATACAAATGTTGAATGAAATTTAAATTTCGGAATTTTGACTTAAAAACAAAAATGTGACGTTTAATTGTTTAACTTTAGTACTTGTTAAACATTTAAATAAAAATTCAAAAGGCGGCGGCAGTTGTAATTGTTAGAAAATATTTAATTATTTTTATTATTGCAAAGTTTTGAAAAAACTTTTTTATTGTATTTAATTTTTTTTAAACTTTACGTGTTAATTACTTTAGAATGATTTATCAAAAAAAAAAATATAGTTAACTTTTGTCTGTAATTAAGTAGAAATTAAAAAATAATAATAACTAAATATTTTATCTACAAATCTTTCTATTTAACTACAAGTTAGCTTTAAACTTTAGAGACTCTCTCATTGTCTTGAAAAAAAGATTAGTTTTATATGTACGTGTTCAACTTATAATAATGACCTTTTTTAGTTGTGTTTTTAGGAATTTTTAATTGTATTCAAAGTCTAAATGTTTAATACTAACTAGACCTTCGAAATTATAATGAAATTAAAGTTTTTTTGTTTTAAATTTATGGCTTAAATTAAACAAAATATCATCAAAATATTCTAGTTAATATTTTCTTTATTTTAATGGAAAGTTTATAACTTATACCAAATCGTAATGGTTTTATAGAGAATAGCAGACTATAGTCCATTATATAGGTGTTAGTCTGGGAAAAAGTCTATTCTATACTATGGACTATAGTCTATACTACCATCTATAGTACAGTCTATAGTATGGACTAGCTCGTTTCTACTTCAGTTCTACCTTAGTTCTAGTTCAGTTCTAGTTCGGTTCTAGTTCAGTTCTAGTTCAGTTCTAGTTCAGTTCTAGTTCAGTTCTAGTTCAGTTCTAGTTCGGTTCTAGTTCAGTTCTAGTTCAGTTCTAGTTCAGTTCTAGTTCGGTTCTAGTTCAGTTCTAGTTCAGTTCTAGTTCAGTTCTAGTTCAGTTCTAGTTCAGTTCTAGTTCAGTTCTAGTTCTAGTTCAGTTCTAGTTCAGTTCTAGTTCAGTTCTAGTTAGTTCTAGTTCAGTTCTAGTTCAGTTCTAGTTCAGTTCTAGTTCAGTTCTAGTTCAGTTCTAGTTCAGTTCTAGTTCAGTTCTAGTTCAGTTCTAGTTCAGTTCTAGTTTAGTTCTAATTAATTTCTTGTTCAGTTCTAATTCAGTTCTAGTTCGGTTTTAGTTCAGTTCTAGTTCGGTTCTAGTTCGGTTCTAGTCCGGTTCTAGTTCAGTTCTAGTTCAGATCTAGTTCTGTTCTAGTTCTGTTCCAGTTCTGTTCTAGTTCTGTTCTACTTCTGTTCTAGTTCTGTTCTAGTTCTGTTCTAGTTCTGTTCTAGTTCTGTTCTAGTTCTGTTCTAGTTCTGTTCTAGTTCTGTTCTAGTTCTGTTCTAGTTCTGTTCTAGTTCTGTTCTAGTTCTGTTCTAGTTCTGTTCTAGTTCTGTTCTAGTTCTGTTCTAGTTCTGTTCTAGTTCTGTTCTAGTTCAGTTCTAGTTCAGTTCTAGTTCTGTTCTAGTTCTGTTCTAGTTCTATTCTAGTTCTGTTTTAGTTCTGTTCTAGTTCTGTTCTAGTTCTGTTCTAGTTCTGTTCTAGTTCAGTTCTAGTTCTGTTCTAGTTCTGTTCTAGTTCTGTTCTAGTTCTGTTCTAGTTCTGTTCTAGTTCTCTTCTAGTTCTATTCTATTCTAGTTCTGTTCTATTCTAGTTCTGTTCTAGTTCTATTCTAGTTTTGTTCTAGTTATGTTCTAGTTCTGTTCTAGTTCTGTTCTAGTTCTGTTCTAGTTCTGTTCTAGTTCTGTTCTAGTTCTGTTCTAGTTCTGTTCTAGTTCTGTTCTAGTTCTGTTCTAGTTATGTTCTAGTTCTGTTCTAGTTCTGTTCTAGTTCTGTTCTAGTTCTGTTCTAGTTCTGTTCTAGTTCTGTTCTAGTTCTGTTCTAGTTCTGTTCTATTTCTATTCTAGTTTTGTTCTAGTTATGTTCTAATTCTGTTCTAGTTCTGTTCTAGTTCTGTTCTAGTTCTGTTCTAGTTCTGTTCTAGTTCTGTTCTAGTTCTGTTCTTGTTCTATGTAGTTCTGTTCTAGTTCTGTTCAAGTTCTGTTCTAATTCTATTCTAGTTTTAGTTCATTTGATGATTCGTTACTTTTATTGATCATATCTTTTTCTTTTTATTTCATTTTAGCTGAACCGGATTTAAAATGTCCCCGAGATGATTTGTTTTTATTGAGATTCTTAAGAGTTTGCAAATTCTATCCCGAAAGTGCTTTGAAATTGGTAATATTTCTTAAGATCTCCTAAAATAAAAGAAATGTTTAATATAAATTCTATAATTACAGATCAAAAACTATTATTCATTCAAAGTTAAACATGCCGATGTTTATAAAGATTTAATACCCAGCAATGAGAAGAATGTCTTTGATCATAATGTCATTATAGTATTTCCCAATAGAGATCAATTGGGACGTAGAGTAGCGGTATTGGAATTGGGAAGTAAGTATTTAGAGCAACTTTAAAAGAGAATAAAAATTAACATATTTTTTTCCTGTACAGAGAACTGGAAACACAAGAAAGTTTGCTTGGATGAGGTCTTCAAGGCTGCCGTTTTATATTTGGAAGCTGCCATGTGGGAGCCTGAAACACAAATTAATGGTGTCGTAGTCATCTTCGATATGGATGGTTTGAGTTTACAACAGACTTGGCAATTTACTCCAGCCTTTGCCAAACGTATTGTGGACTGGTTGCAGGATTCGGTACCTCTACGTATCAAGGCCATACACATTGTCAATCAACCCAAAATCTTCAATGTAGTATTTTCTCTATTCAAACCTTTCTTAAGAGAAAAATTGCGTAATCGTATTATTTTCCATGGTACCGATCGTGACTCGCTATATAAATACATGTCTCCCGAATGTTTACCCGCCTGTTATGGTGGTTCACGCAAAGAACCCCGCATCGATGGTAATCAATGGTATAAGTTGTTGGTCCAGTGTGAAAAGGAATACAAGGCCATTAATTCGTATGGTTATCAAAAGTAGAGTCAGAGAAGATTTTTTGTAAAAAATCGCACATCCATTATATTGCCGCAAAATAACACCCATCATTTATTGTTAACTATTAGTTTTTAAGAAATATACTTGTTTTTGGAGAATTTTAAATCCGAACAAAATTTCTGTTATAGAACAAACTCTGGCCAGTTGTTCTTAAAGTATGTACTTACTTTCCCTTTTAATTTTTAACAAAATTTTCTTAAAACTTATTTATTTTTTAAATTAATTTCTCCTTCTTCACTTTTTTGTATAAATATTTTTGACTTGAATTAAGATTGTACCTTCTTCTATTTTTACTAAATAATTTAATATGGGGGCTGTAAATATCACTTAAGTTCAGGGATTAAGTTTCATTATTACTTGATTTTAGTATTGTAATAAGGGATTGTTTAGTTTGTAAGCTTGAAATAATATTTTTTATATAAAAATAAAAACAGAAAATTAATTTTGAAATAAGAAACGCTTAGAAAATATTATGAAGAAAGTTATTGTATAATAAAGCGCTTATTTAAGAAAAAAAGTAAATAAATGTTGTAATAACATAAAATACATTAGTTTTATTGAGAGGACTTTTCCGGAAAGTCGATAGTTCAGAAAATAGACTAAACCATAGCATGGACTAGAGTGAACACTGTAGTCTTGCTTATAGTCTTGTCTGCACTAGAGAGTAATCGCCTATAGACTTGACTAGTGTCCAGAATGTAGAATAGCCTATGGTCGGGACTGTAGAACAGTCTATATACTAGATTACAGTCAAAACTACATAGATAGACTTGACCATAGGCCAGACTACAATCCAGATTAGAGCCTAGACTTTAGTCGATAATAAAGACTAGACTGTAGTCCAGACTATAGACTAGACTATAGTCCAGACTATAGACTAGACTATAGTCCAGACTATAGACTAGACTATAGACTTGACTATAGTCCAGACTATAGACTAGACTATAGTCCAGACTATAGACTAACTAGACTCTAGTCCAGACTATAGACTAGACTCTAGTCCAGACTATAGACTAGACTCTAGTCCTGACTAGTCTATAGTCACGTTCACAGATTGGACGTGACTAGACTATAGTAAATATTATAGACTAGACTATAGTAAATATTATAGACTAGACTATAGTCCAGACTATAGACTAGACTAGACTATAGTCCAGACTATAGACTAGACTAGACTATAGTCCAGACTATCGACTAGACTATAGTCAAGACTACAGACTATAGAATATAGACTAGACTATAGTCCAGACTATAGACTAGACTCTAGTCCAGAATATAGACTAGATCTAGAATATAGACTAGACTATAGTCCAGACTATAGACTCGACTCTAGTCCTGACTAGTCTATAGTCACGTTCACAGATTGGACGTGACTAGACTATAGTAAATATTATAGACTAGACTATAGTCCAGACTATAGACTAGACTAGTCCAGACTATAGTCCAGACTATAGAATATAGACTAGACTATAGTCCAGACTATAGACTAGACTATAGTCCAGACTATAGACTAGACTATAGTCCAGACTATAGACTAGACTATCGTCCAGACTATAGACTAGACTCTAGTCCTGACTAGTCTATAGTCACGTTCACAGATTGGACGTGACTAGACTATAGTAAATAATATAGACTAGACTATAGTCCAGGCTATAGACTAGACTATAGACTATGCTATAGTCCAGACTATATACCAGAATATAGACTAGACTATAGTCCAGACTATAGACTAGACTCTAGTCTGGACTATAGCCTAGCCTATAGTCTGCACTATAGCCTAGCCTATAGTCTGGACTATAGCCTAGCCTATAGCCTATATATAGTCTGGACTATAGCCTATACTATAGTCCAGACTATAGCCTATACTATAGTCCAGACTATAGCCTATACTATAGTTCAGACTATAGCCTATACTATAGTCCAGACTATAGCCTATACTATAGTCCAGACTATAGCCCATACTATAGTCCAGACTATAGCCTATACTATAGTCCAGACTATAGCCTATACTATAGCCCAGACTATAGCCTATACTATAGCCCAGACTATAGCCTATACTATAGTCCAGACTATAGCATATACTATAGTCCAGACTATAGCCTATACTATAGTCCAGACTATAGCCTATACTATAGTCCAGACTATAGCCTATACTATAGTCCAGACTATAGCCTGTACTATAGTCCAGACTATAGACTAGACTATGGTCCAGACTATAGACTAGACTATAGTCCAGACTATAGACTAGACTATAGTCCAGACTATAGTCCAGATTATAGACTAGTCTATAGTCTGGACTATAGACTAGACTTTAGTGCAGACTATAGAACTATAGTCCAGACTATTGACTAGACTATAGGCCAGACTAGAAATCTGGTTTTTCGACAGAAATTTTCATCAAAAATTTCACTAGAAAATCAATATTTTATCACAAATTCGAAATTTCTCCAAAAAAAAAAAAATTCAGCAGAAATTTCAAAACTTCTCAAACTATTCAAAATTATAGTCCAGATACTAGAAACTTCAAATGTTAGAAGATAGATATTTCATTAAATATTTGATTTTTCGCCGGAAATTCAAAGTTTCACCAGAAAAATTTAAATTTCACCAACAATATACAAAAAAATTCAAAATTTCACCAAAAAATCGAAATTTCACAAAAAAAAAAAAAAAACCAAAAACTCAAAATTTTATCAAAAATTCAAAATTTCAGCCGAAATTAAAAATATCACCAAATATCGAAATTTCATCAAAAATTCAAAATTTCACTATAAATTCATAATTTTCCCAAAAAAATCAAAATTTCACTAAAAATTCAAAATTTCACTATAAATAAAAAATTTCATAAAAAATTCAAATATTTACCAAAAATTCAAATATTTACCAAAAATTCGAAAATTCATTAAAAATTCAAAATTTCACCTGAAATTCTAAATTTTAGTAAAAAATTCAAAATATCTCCCGGAATTAAAAATTTTACCCAAAATTAAAAATTTCACCAAACCACTAAATCGTATTCAACATTTCAACAAAAACTCGATATTTCACTAAAAATTTTAAAATTAACCAAAAGTTTGAAATTTCACCAAAAATTCAAAATTTCACCAAAATTTGGAAATTTTAATAAAATTTAAAATTTTATCAGAATTCGTATTTTTTATATAAAAAATTAATTGGAAAAAGTCAATATGGTTTAAAGAGTAATCAATAGGAAGTCTTTTAATAAGAATATTGAGATTTTTTTTTTAAATTGAAAATTTTATTTTATCTGCTTTTAGAGCAAAAAGCACTAAATTGATATTACTAAAAGCGATGTCATTGATATTGTCAAAGGAAAGAAGAACAATGTGAGTGTGTCTTTGCTAGAATTTTGTTTAGACAAAGTAATCCATATAATCTGTATATGGTGTTTGTCTATGCTACTAGACAGCTAAGACACATACCATAGTGTAGTGACAAAGTTACCAGATTAAAGTTCATGGCAGTAATCCTATTGTAATGAACAATCCAAAGTCTCTTTTGTTTAGGATTTTGGAAAATAATTTCCTTTTTAGTTTCAAATTGCAAAATTTTCATTTTCTTAATACATTTTTCTTGTGTGTTTCTTTATTATAATCATTTTCTTTAAATATGCTTAAAAACTAAATGTTAATACAATCTAAATATTATTTTCTTTCTTTCTTTTTGTTAAATAAATTGTTTTTTTTTCTTCGGTTTCAGTTTATTTAAAAATTGTAAACATTTTCAAAAAATGTTTTTAGATTTTTATAATTTCACGCTTTCAATGAGTATGACGAAGAGTGTGGGGAATGTTAACATACATTAGATTTTATAAATAATTTTTTCTTATAAATTTTTAAATGTTTTAGTTAGAGGTGAACTAAATTATAAATATAAAAAGCTGCCTTTAATAAATTTTACAGTAAGAGACATTTCAGGACCCTTTAATAATTATATGGTCCACTCACTCTACACGATGCAATTTTGCAAATAATTTATAAAAAAAAAAACTTGTACTAAAATAAAAAATAATAATTTTTAAAAATTGTGCTTAAAAACGAACTTGTTAATTTAAAATTTTTTTAAACATTTGGAATGTTTTAGTAAAAAAAAAAAGTGTAACAAAACTGCTAGAGCAAATTATTTTATACATCTTATGTATATTTTAAAGGGTTTTCCAACACAAATTTCTTTAAAACTTTAGCAATTAAATTGTCAAATTTTCAGTTTGTTTCTTTTCGAAAAAAAGGCACTAAAAATTATTGTTTAACAAGCAAAAACAATTTGTGTTAAATTAGCCAAGGATTTTGTGGTATTTTAAAACTTAGTCTAAAATATTTGGTGCATTTTTTTTTTTGTTTAAAATTATATATGATTAAATAAAATAAATTCTATAAAACTGGGATTTCAACAAGATTCTGTGAAATTTAAAGGAATTTTAGAAAACAAAAGTTGCTGAAAGGAAACTGCCTGTAGTTGTGGGAAAGCACTAGGCTGCAGTCTGAACTATAGTCTAGATTCTATTCAATATATGGACTTTAGTCTATAGTCTGGACTATAGGTTAGTCTATAGTCTGGACTATAGGTTAGTCTATAGTCTGGACTATAGGTTAGTCTATAGTCTGGACTATAGGTTAGTCTATAGTCTGGACTATAGGCTAGTCTATAGTCTGGACTATAGTCTAGTCTATAGTCTGGACTATAGTCTAGTCTATAGTCTGGACTATAGTCTAGTATATAGTCTGGACTATAGTCTACTCTATAGTCTACTCTATAGTCTAGTCTATAGTCTAGTCTATAGTCTAGTCTATAGTCTAGTCTATAGTCTAGTCTATAGTCTAATCTATAGTCTAGTCTAGTCTATAGTCTGGTCTATAGTCTAGTCTATAGTCTAGTCTTTAGTCTAGTCTATAGTCTAGTCTATAGTCTAGTCTATAGTCTAGTCTATAGTCTAGTCTATAGTCTAGTCTATAGTCTAGTCTATAGTCTAGTCTATAGTCTAGTCTATAGTCTAGTCTATAGTCTAGTCTATAGTCTAGTCTATAGTCTAGTCTATAGTCTAGTCTATAGTCTAGTCTATAGTCTAGTCTATAGTCTAGTCTATAGTCTAGTCTATAGTCTAGTCTATAGTCTAGTCTATACTATAGTCTAGTCTATAGTCTAGTCTATAGTCTAGTCTATAGTCTAGTCTAGTCTATAGTCTGGTCTATAGTCTAGTCTATAGTCTAGTCTATAGTCTAGTCTATAGTATAGTATAGTCCAGTCTCTAGTCTATAGTATAGTCTAGTCTATAGTATAGTCTAGTCTATAGTATAGTCTAGTCTATAGTATAGTCTAGTCTAATCTATAGTATAGTCTAGTCTAGTCTTGTCTATAGTATAGTCTAGTCTAATCTATAGTATAGTCTAGTCTATAGTCTAGTCTATAGTCTAGTCTATAGTCTAGTCTATAGTCTAGTCTATAGTCTAGTCTATAGTCTAGTCTATAGTCTAGTCTATAGTCTAGTCTATAGTCTAGTCTATAGTCTAGTCTATAGTCTAGTCTATAGTCTAGTCTATAGTCTAGTCTATAGTCTAGTCTATAGTCTAGTCTATAGTCTAGTCTATTGTCTAGTCTATAGTCTAGTCTATAGTCTAGTCTAGTCTATAGTCTAGTCTATAGTCTAGTCTAGTCTATAGTCTAGTCTATAGTCTAGTCTATAGTCTAGTCTATAGTCTAGTCTATAGTCTAGTCTATAGTCTAGTCTATAGTCTAGTCTATAGTCTAGTCTATAGTCTAGTCTATAGTCTAGTCTAGTCTATAGTCTAGTCTATAGTCTAGTCTATAGTCTAGTCTAGTCTATAGCCTAGTCTATAGTCTAGTCTATAGTCTAGTCTATAGTATAGTCTATAGTCTAGTCTATAGTCTAGTCTATAGTCTAGTCTATAGTCTAGTCTATAGTCTAGTCTATAGTCTAGTCTATAGTCTAGTCTATAGTCTAGTCTATAGTCTAGTCTATAGTCTAGTCTATAGTATAGTCTAGTCTATAGTCTAGTCTATAGTATAGTCTAGTCTATAGTATAGTCTAGTCTATAGTATAGTCTAGTCTAGTCTATAGTATAGTCTAGTCTAATCTATAGTATAGTCTAGTCTAGTCTATAGTATAGTCTAGTCTAATCTATAGTATAGTCTAGTCTATAGTCTAGTCTAGTCTATAGTCTAGTCTATAGTCTAGTCTATAGTCTAGCCTATAGTCTAGTATAGTCTAGTCATATAGTCTAGTCTCTAGTCTAGTCTATAGTATAGTCTATAGTCTAGTCTAGTCTAGTCTGTCTATAGTCTAGTCTATATCTAGTCTATTGTCTAGTCTATAGTCTAGTCGATAGTATAGTCTGTCTAGATATAGTCTAAGTCGATAGTCTAGGTCTATAGTCTAGTCTTGTCCTATCTATAGTCTAGTCTATTGTCCAGTCACGAGATTCTATCTAGTCTATAGTAAGTCTAGTCTAGAGTAATATTCAGTCTATAGATAGTCTAGTCTATAGTCTATTCTATAGTAGTCTAGTCTAATGGTCTAGTCTATAGTCTAGTCTATAGTATAGTCTATATCAGGCCTATAGTCTAGTCTATTGTCTAGTCTATAGTCTAGTCTATAGTCTAGTCTATAGTCTAGTCTATAGTCTAGTCTATAGTCTAGTCTATAGTCTAGTCTATAGTCTAGTCTATAGTCTAGTCTATAGTCTAGTCTATAGTCTAGTCTATAGTCTAGTCTATAGTCTAGTCTATAGTCTAGTCTATAGTCTAGTCTATAGTCTAGTCTATAGTCTAGTCTATAGTCTAGTCTATAGTCTAGTCTAGTCTAGTCTAGTCTATAGTCTAGTCTATAGTCTAGTCTATAGTCTAGTCTATAGTCTAGTCTATAGTCTAGTCTATAGTCTAGTCTATAGTCTAGTCTATAGTCTAGTCTATAGTCTAGTCTATAGTCTAGTCTATAGTCTAGTCTATAGTCTAGTCTATAGTCTAGTCTATAGTCTAGTCTATAGTCTAGTCTATAGTCTAGTCTATAGTCTAGTCTATAGTCTAGTCTATAGTCTAGTCTATAGTCTAGTCTATAGTCTAGTCTAGTCTAGTCTATAGTCTAGTCTATAGTCTAGTCTATAGTCTAGTCTATAGTCTAGTCTATATTCTAGTCTATAGTCTAGTCTATAGTATAGTCTAGTCTATAGTCTAGTCTATAGTATAGTCTAGTCTATAGTATTGTCTAGTCTATGGTATTGTCTAGTCTATAGTATTGTTTAGTCTATAGTATTGTTTAGTCTATAGTATTGTCTAGTCTATAGTATTGTCTAGTCTATAGTATAGTCTAGTCTTAGTATAGTCTAGTCTATAGTATATTATAGTCTATAGCATAGTCTAGTCTATAGTATAGTCTAGTCTATAGTATAGTCTAGTCTATAGTATAGTCTAGTCTATAGTATAGTCTAGTCTATAGTATAGTCTAGTCTATAGTATAGTCGAGTCTATAGTATAGTCGAGTCTATAGTTTAGTCTATTGTCTAGTCTATAGTCTAGTCTGTAGTCTAGTCTATAGTCTAGTCTATAGTCTAGTCTAGTTCTATAGTCTATTCTATATAGAGTTGACTATAATTTTGTCTATAGCTTTGACTGTAGTTTAGTCTTGACTATAGTTTAGTCTATAATCTTGACTATAGTTATGTCTATAGTGTGGACTACAGTTGAGTTGCCAGACTAGAATATAGACAGGAAAATATTTCAGAACTAAATAATAAGGAAACTGTGTTTAAAAGGGTTAAAATTTGCGCTTTTCCATAAATTAAGGAATATTTGTATTAAAAAAGGGAGAGAGATTCTCTTTTTTTATATTTTCGGGACTGTGTAAAAAAAATCAATCCGGGCAAGGTTATTGTACTGGAATTTAAGAATTTTGTACTACAATTTGCAAAAATGAATCGATCTTTTCGCTATGAAAACAAACTACAAAATTAAAAAAAAGTATTTAGAAAAAAACTTACATATAAAAGAATTTTGTTTCTTTTTTTGGTGATTACAACCAATTGTAGTTTTGAATCTTGTTTTAAATAACCGCCTACTAAACCTCCTAGTGGTTCGCACTTTTTCATTATTTAATCTTTTTCGTTTTTATAGTTGATAGTGAGTTTCTTGAGGTTTCGTTGGACGTTTACCAAATCGTCGTGGTGAGGGTGTATGCATAGATTCATCTTCTGATTCTAAATTTCCGGCAGCTGTAGAGGATGAACTGCTACCACCACCCGTACAGCAAAATCGATTTTGTGCTAAACGTATTGTTTTGGTCAAATCAATTGTGTCGTTTTGTTTTAGTTCAATTTCTGCTATACGTTCCATATGTTTCCATTGACGTACGGCCAAAATGAAAGCATCATTAACATTGGTGGCCGTTTTTGAAGAGGTTTCGATGTGACTGCGTATTTGAAAGGTATCACACCATTGTTTAAGCTCATCCGATCCAACCTGGCGGCATTGTTGAGCCAAATCGTTCTGTGCTTGTTAAAAGAATGAATGGAGAGTATTAAAACCTGGTTTTATGTGCAATATTGATACTGACCTTGTTGCCCACTACAATAAAGGGAAATTTGTCTGCCTTAACATCGGCGTAATGTAGGAATTCTTCGCGCCATTGCTTAAGGCCACGAAAGCTATCATAATCATCGATGGCATAACACAATAAACAAACATCTGACCCTCTATAGAAAGGTGTGCGTAAAGCACGGAAACGTTCCTGACCAGCAGTGTCCCAAATCTAGAATTAATAGAATATTTTATATAAAATCACAAAAAATTAATTGTTTATTGATAATTACTTAATCATTAGTAAAAAATGTCGTTTAATTACATGATTAAGAAATATTTTTCAACAACAATCATTACTTGTTTCTCTAATCGATATTATTCCATGACAATTTAGTATTTTGTCTATTAATTTAGCAGTTTTCTAATAACATGTGTTTCAATTTCCGAAACCTCCCTGCCCCTTAAAAAAATTTTTTTTAATTATTAATTTAAACTAATAAAACATTAATTACGAAATTATTTTTTGCTCCCCACCAATATTTGTAAGCAATAATGATAATTAAGAAATTTTATTGATTTTTTTTTATTTCCCCCAAAAAATGTGAATTCCAATTTTAGTTAAAAAACTGAAACCAACACAAAATTTGGCAAAACTAGAAGTAATTCTCTAAACCATTAGACTAGTTCAAGTTTAACTTCCTAATTTTTACTTATAAAGTCATAAACTAACATTAAAATGTGTGCAAAAACATTAAATTCTTATTGTTTGTAAAACTTAAATAAATTAAATAATTTAAACGTCTCGTATAATTAATTGCAATTTGCTTTTGTTTTTTGTTCTCTATATTGATTTAATGATTAGATTTGATTTGTATCATTTTAAAAGTCTATTTAGTTTACATTGCAATGCCCATTAGTCAGTCTTGATTTTCAATTTGTGATTTTTATTTGTCAACCAAAATTGGCTTGACAAGTTGTCACAATTAACGGTCTATGATCGTTTATTGTCTGTACAATAACAGACAATAGTTAAAAGTGTTAAATTGTTGTAATTGAACAAAACAAAATAAGAAAAAAAAACATCAGTTAAGTTTAACAAATTTGGTCATGTTTAGATAAAATGCAAACTATTAACAAGTCTGGGCTATAGTCTAATATACAGACTAGATTATAGCCTGGAAAAGATAGCCTAGTCTTTAGTCTTGTTTATAGTTTAGAATAAAGAGTACTCAACAGTCTGGTCTATTTATAGTCTAGTCTAGTTTATAGTCTAGTTTATAGTTTAGTCTATAGTTTAGTCAATAGTCTAGTTTATAGTCTAGACTGTAGACTACACTATAGACTAGACTATATACTTTATAGTCTAGTCTATAGTCTAGTCTAGTCTAGTCTATAGTCTAGTCTATAGTCTAGTCTATAGTCTAGTCTATAGTCTAGTCTATAGTCTAGTCTATAGTCTAGTCTATAGTCTAGTCTATAGTCTAGTCTATAGTCTAGTCTATAGTCTAGTCTATAGTCTAGTCTATAGTCTAGTCTATAGTCTAGTCTATATTCTAGTCTATAGTCTAGTCTACTAGTCTATAGTCTAGTCTATAGTCTAGTCTATAGTCTAGTCTATAGTCTAGTCTATAGTCTAGTCTATAGTCTAGTCTATAGTCTAGTCTATAGTCTAGTCTATAGTCTAGTCTATAGTCTAGTCTATAGTCTAGTCTATAGTCTAGTCTATAGTCTAGTCTATAGTCTAGTCTATAGTCTAGTCTATAGTCTAGTCTATAGTCTAGTCTATAGTCTAGTCTATAGTCTAGTCTATAGTCTAGTCTATAGTCTAGTCTATAGTCTAGTCTATAGTCTAGTCTATAGTCTAGGCTATAGTCTAGTCTATAGTCTATGCTATAATTTAATATATAGTCTAGTCTATATTCTCGTCTATAGTCTTGCCAATAGTCTAGTCTATAGTCTTGTCTATAGTCTAGTCTATAGTGTAGTCTGTAGTCTAATCTATAGTCTACACTATGGTCTAATCTATAGTCTAATCTTTAGTCTAGTCTATAGTCTAGTCTATAGTAGTATAGTTTAATATACATTCTAGTTTAGTCTAAAGTCATGTCCATAGTCTAGTCCATTTAGTCTATAGGCTAATCTATATTCTTGTCTATAGTCTAGTTTATTCTTTTTAACACTTACCTGCAATGTATACTTCTCACCATCCACTTCAATGTCTTTGTTCATGAACTCCACACCAATTGTATGGAAATTGTTCTCATCATAACGATTGGAGACAAAACGATTCATGAGACATGATTTGCCAACGCCACCATCGCCCAATATAACGACTTTCAATAAAGTCGATTTATTTGGAGGACGCATATTGGTCATGATGGTTGCTAATGAAGAGCAGAAACAGCCAAAAAAAAAACCCAAAAACAAAAACAACAATTTAATGGTAAAAAAACAAAGACAAAACAAGACAAGTCTAGGCAAAATAAATCCAGAAAAGCTAAAAGAAAACATAGAAAATTTGTATTAAAAAATAGTTTCAATTTAAATTATCTTAATTAGTTAACAACACTTTACCTTGATTTATTAGTTTACTGTAAAAAATAAACAATTGTTAAGGTTTATTTATTAAATTCTTATTAGAAGTATGGGTCCGTACAATAGGCTGTTGTTGAAATTTTTTGTGTAGATTCTCTTGTTTTTTAACTTTATCTATATTTTCACTTTTGTGTAGTTGTTGGTATTTTGTTAATAACCTTATAATAACTTATTATTTAAATGTTTTTTTTTTCTTAACTTTCAGATTTTATATTTGATGTCTGCTTTTTTGCAAATTTAGTCTTATCTTTTATTTAGTTTGTTCTGTATTTGTTGTTATTTTTGTAGGTTTTTTTATTTGTTTTAAAACAACAATAATTAACATACAATTAGTTTTGTAAAATTTTAGTTAATTTTATTTTTGTTTTATGTAGAAGAAATAGTTAAAAACACCAACAACTTATTATATTATTTTTTTTGAGTAACCACCACACTACGTTGTTTGTTGCTCTAGTATTTTTTTGAGAATGAATTCATTTTGTTGTTTTTTTTTTATTTTAATTAATTCTATCAGCTGTTTTGTCTTCTCTTTTTTCTCATCGTTGTACGTTCTTGTTGATTTTGTTTTGTTTGGAGATTTATTAACTAGTTTCTCAGTTTGTTTTGCTGGTTTTCCAAAATACACCTTACTAGATGCTACAAAATGTAAACAGAATTTAAGTTGGTGGTGAGTTTTATGTTATGGGAACAAAGTTGCCATATTGTGAGAGAAAAACTTTAAACGTTATATTAACTAACTAATCAACTACTAACTAACTAACTAACTAACTAACTACTACTAACTACTAACTAACTACTAACTAACTAACTAACTAACTAACTAACTACTAACTAACTAACTAACTAACTAACTAACTAACTAACTAACTAACTAACTAACTAACTAACTAACTAACTAACTAACTAACTAACTAACTAACTACTAACTAACTAACTAACTAACTAACTAACTAACTAACTAACTAACTAAACTAACTAACTAACTAACTAACTAACTAACTAACTACTAACTAACTAACTACTAACTACTAACTAACTAACTACTAACTAACTAACTAACTAACTAACTAACTAACTAACTAACTAACTACTAACTAACTACTAACTACTAACTAACTAACTAACTACAACTAACTAACTAACTAACTAACTAACTAACTAACTAACTAACTAACTAACTAACTAACTAACTAACTAACTAACTAACTAACTAACTAACTAACTACTAACTAACTAACTAACTAACTAACTAACTAACTAACTACTAACTAACTAACTAACTAACTAACTAACTAACTAACTAACTAACTAACTAACTACTAACTAACTAACTAACTAACTAACTAACTAACTAACTAACTACTAACTAACTAACTAACTAACTAACTAACTAACTAACTACTAACTAACTAACGACACTAACTAACTAACTAACTAACTAACTAACTAACTAACTACTAACTAACTAACTAACTAACTAACTAACTAACTACTAACTAACTAACTAACTAACTAACTAACTACTAACTAACTAACTAACTAACTAACTAACTAACTAACTACTAACTAACTACTAACTAACTAACTAACTAACTAACTAACTAACTAACTAACTAACTAACTAACTAACTAACTACTAACTAACTAACTAACTAACTAACTAACTAACTAACTAACTAACTAACTAACTAACTAACTAACTAACTAACTAACTAACTAACTAACTAACTAACTAACTAACTAACTAACTAACTAACTAACTAACTAACTAACTAACTAACTAACTAACTAACTAACTACTAACTAACTAACTAACTAACTAACTAACTAACTAACTAACTAACTAACTAACTAACTAACTAACTAACTAACTAACTAACTAACTAACTAACTAACTAACTAACTAACTAACTAACTAACTAACTAACTAACTAACTAACTAACTAACTAACTAACTAACTAACTAACTAACTAACTAACTAACTAACTAACTAACTATAACTAACTAACTACTAACTAACTACTACTAACTAACTAACTAACTAACTAACTAACTAACTAACTAACTAACTAACTAACTAACTAACTAACTAACTAACTAACTAACTAACTATAACTAACTAACTAACTAACTAACTAACTACTAACTAACTAACTAACTAACTAACTAACTAACTACTAACTAACTAACTAACTAACTACTAACTAACTAACTAACTAACTAACTAACTAAACTAACTAACTACTAACTACTAACTAACTAACTAACTAACTAACTAACTACTAACTAACTAACTAACTATACTAACTAACTAACTAACTAACTAACTAACTAACTAACTAACTACTAACTACTAACTAACTAACTAACTAACTAACTAACTAACTAACTAACTAACTAACTAAAACTACTAACTAACTAACTAACTAACTAACTAACTAACTACTACTAACTAACTAACTAACTAACTAACTAACTAACTAACTAACTAACTAACTAACTAACTAACTAACTAACTAACTAACTAACTAACTAACTAACTAACTAACTAACTAACTAAACTAACTAACTAACTAACTAACTAACTAACTAACTAACTAACTACTACTAACTAACTAACTAACTAACTAACTAACTAACTAACTAACTACTAACTAACTAACTAACTAACTAACTAACTAACTAACTACTAACTAACTACTAACTAACTAACTAACTAACTAACTAACTAACTAACTAACTAACTAACTAACTAACTAACTAACTAACTAACTAACTAACTAACTAACTAACTAACTAACTAACTAACTAACTACTACTAACTAACTAACTAACTAACTAACTAACTAACTAACTAACTAACTAACTAACTAACTACTAACTAACTAACTAACTAACTAACTACTAACTAACTAACTACTAACTAACTAACTAACTAACTAACTAACTAACTAACTAACTAACTAACTAACTAACTAACTAACTAACTAACTAACTAACTAACTAACTAACTAACTAACTAACTAACTAACTAACTAACTAACTAACTAACTACTAACTAACTACTAACTAACTAACTAACTAACTAACTAACTAACTAACTAACTAACTAACTAACTAACTAACTAACTAACTAACTAACTAACTACTAACTAACTAACTAACTAACTAACTACTAACTAACTACTAACTAACTAACTAACTAACTAACTAACTAACTAACTAACTAACTAACTACTAACTAACTAACTAACTACTAACTAACTAACTAACTAACTACTAACTAACTAACTAACTACTAACTAACTAACTACACTAACTAACTAACTACCTAACTAACTAACTAACTAACTACTAACTAACTAACTAACTACCTAACTAACTAACTAACTAACTAACTAACTAACTAACTAACTAACTAACTAACTAACTAACTAACACTAACTAACTACTAACTAACTAACTAACTAACTAACTAACTAACTAACTAACTAACTAACTAACTAACTAAACTAACTAACTAACTAACTAACTAACTAACTAACTACTAACTAACTACTACTAACTAACTAACTAACTACTCTAACTAACTAACTAACTAACTAACTAACTAACTAACTACTACTAACTAACTAACTAACTAACTACTAACTAACACTAACTAACTAACTAACTAACTAACTACTAACTAACTAACTAACTACTAACTAACTAACTAACTAACTAACTAACTAACTAACTAACTAACTACTACTAACTAACTAACTAACTAACTAACTAACTAACTAACTAACTAACTAACTAGCTAACTAACTAACTAACTACTAACTACTAACTAACTAACTAACTAACTAACTAACTAACTAACTAACTACTAACTAACAACTAACTAACTAACTACTAACTAAACTAACTAACTAACTACTAACTAACTAACAACTACTAACTAACTAACTAACTAACTACACTAACTAACTAACTAACTAACTAACTACTAACTACTAACTAACTGACTAACTAACTACTAACTAACTAACTAACTAACTCACTAACTAACTAACTAACTAACTAACTAACTAACTACTAACTAACTAACTAACTAACTAACTAACTACTAACTAACTAACTAACTAACTAACTAACTACGAACTAACTACTAACTAACTAACTAACTAACTAACTAACTAACTAACTACAACTAACTAACAACTAACTAACTAACTAACTAACTAACTAACTAACTACTAACACGAAACTAACGAACTAGCTAACTAACTACTAAGAACTAACTAACTAACTAACTAACAACTAACTAACTAACTACTAACTAACTAACTAACTAACTAACTAACTAACTAACTAACTAACTAACTAACAACTAACTAACTAACTAACTACTAACTAACAACTAACTAACTAACTAACTAACTAACTAACTACTAACTGACAACTAACTAACTAACTGACTAACTAACTAAATACACTAACTAACTAACTAACTAACTAACTAACTAACTAACAACTAACTAACTAACTAACTAACTAACTAACTAACTAAACAACGACTAACTAACAACACTAACTAACTAACTAACTAACTAACTAACTAACTAACGAAACTAACTAACTAACTAACTAACTAACTAACTAACTAAACTAACTAACTAACTAACTAACTAACTAACTAACTAACTACTAGGGCGGATGTCCATAAAGAGGCAGATTTTAAACTTAAAAAATATTACAATCCCAACCTTGAATCCCACACCTTTTCATAATTTCTCTTTAAAATAAACATTACACAAAAATTACTCTTTTAAATTCAAGTGCACCACTCTCTTACATCTGTTTTACTAAACTATTATTAGCTCTCTACTAACCTCCATTTAGTGTTGAATTTTAGTGTGATTTTAGAAGTCGTTGTTGGTGGTTGTATGGTAACGGTTCAAACGGTGGATAATTCAAAAAGTGATTTTTGATTGTTTTACGTTCAGCGATTGTGTGTTTGTGTATGAATGTGTGTAAAACAGCAATAAGAAAAAAAAGAGAGTGGTTAAAAAAATATTAATACAATTTAATTCTTGTTAAAAACAAGTGAGAACAAATTTTTATATTTTTATAAAGAAATTTTATTATAAAACCATGAAATTTATAACGAAAAAGAAAATGTGAATTAAAATAAAAATGAAAAAGTCTGATGAAAAATGTTGCTGGCAAAAAAGTTTTTCAAGTATACAAAAAATTTTACATATTTTTTATGTAAAGGTCATTTAAAGTAAAAGAAAGAAGAAGAAGTAGAAGAAGCAAAGCAGAAAGAAGCATTTGAAAATTAAGCAAAGTTAAAAAGTGTAAAATTATGAAAAAGTAAAAAGAAAATTTTAATAAAATTTTGTTGGGAAAAAGTGTTTTTGAAGGAAGATTCCATTTAATTGTTGTTTATTAATGATAAAGAAAAGGTAATTT